CATTTGAGTTCTTTGATCTGGTCCTATGGTGGGGTGAACAAGAAGAAAATGAAATCAGCCACTAGCTGTTGTGTGGGCTCCTGGCATTTCATCTCTGTTAGTCAGAGCCATCATTCTGCTGTGCACAGGGTCTTGGTACCAACTTGACAACACCTAACAACAGTACTCACAGCCATTGCTTTAGCCTCGGGCCTGCTAACATGCTTATGTAATTCATCTTCCCTTTCAGATTTGTTAGCATCAGTGACCTCCTTGTACCAAAAGATTTGGGAACAGAGAGCCAGGTAAGTGTGGAGACAGAAATGAGGATTTGCAGGCTTTACTGGAGAGGCATCCCTAAATTGGCTCAAGTCTTTGCAATTTTCATTTCCAGATCTTTATTTCCAGTACTTATGATGCTACAACTCACTTTGAGACGACCTGCGATGACATTAAAAACATCTACATGAGGATGACAGGATCAGAGTTTGACTTTGAAGAAATGAAGCGCAAGAAAAATGATATCTATGGGGAAGACTAACAGCAGTACTTGTTCTTACCTGACTAGAACAGGTTTAAATTTTGACAGATAATGCATATTGTATAAAATCAGTATTGTAAAGCCTGCTTTTGTAATCAGAACTGAGCGATTGAAGAGTACTGTACCAGTAAATAATTCCTCCCCTTTATCTTTTTAATATCATGTATTAACTCTTTTTCATTGAGTGGCTATTCAGAATTGGCAGGTTACCACACTATCCATTTTAACCAATACTGGCTTTTGTTTTTTTCCTAGTGAAGAATCAGTTTTAAAACAACATTGTGATACTGATACAGAGAGCTCCGTATGGTATTTGTATCTTTTAATCAGTGTAGCCTTTTCAGTTATGTGCTTCTGCTGCCCAAGAGCTGGATCAGTATAATTTGTGCGCCATCTGTCCTTTTGACATTACGGAGATTCTAAATTGAATATTTTGCAACTTGGGACAGTATCCTTGAAGTTTTCCCTAGAACTTTACATTTGTGTTATCTTAAGTATTAGGATAATGCCCCAATAGCATAGCCACTAGTTTGGTTTATGTGGGCATAGAATTCTAACCAAACTCCTGATTTGGGAAGTCATTTGGGGGATGTCTTTGTGGCTTAGTGGCACTGTATTGGTGTCTAAGTATAATAAAATTGAGAGAAAGAGGAAATAAACCTATCACAAAGCAGGTGAAATATAGAAGCATTCTTTGTATACCAAGTGTGGCTTCAATGGACCAAGCTGCAATGCAGTATTGATTTGACAGAGCCTCTGCTTCAGTGATGACTCCCTCAAAATGGCTCCAAATGATTTCTGTACTGCAAAATAAAGCCAAACTCTGGAAACCACTAGCTTGTTTATTGGTCTTTTTGTGCCCTGTGTTTTAAGACCTACTAAGTAGCCCTGGTAGCATAATGGATTACATGTTGGGCTGCTAACCCAACAGTTCAAATACACCATTTGATCCGCAGAAGGAAGCGAGGCTTTCTGTGCCTGTAAAGATTTACAGTCATGGGAACCCTATGATCTGGACCTGACTAGATGGCACACACTAGCAGCAAGAACTGTAATGGCTACACACCTGCTGCTGTCCTTTCATAAAGCCCAAGTGTGCCAGCGAGGCCAGAGCATAAAGGCATTCCCAACATCTGGCCTCACTGTGAGTAGACCCCAAATTACAGTTTGACACAGTAAAAAAACAGTTGGTTGCAACCAGTATAGCATCTCCTAGGCTGTAGATCTTCGTGGGAGCAGAAAGCCTCATTTTTCTCCCATGGAGTGGTTGGTAGGCTTAAACCACTGACCTTGTGGTTCACAGTCCAGTACTTATCCTTCAGAGCCACTGCATCCACATAATACTCTTGGGTACTCTGTAGGTTTAAAAAAGGTATTCCCTTGCACACAAACTCAAATACTGCCTTAATAATATGTCCAGAGCAGCAGTGCTTTAATGTTTTCATGTAATTGATGCTGTTATTGTTAGGAGCAGTTAAGTTGGTTCCAAGTGCTTTAATGTTTTCATGTAATTGATGCTGTTATTGTTAGGAGCAGTTAAGTTGGTTCCAAGTCATAGCAATCATATGAACCAGAGAAGGAAACAATCCCAGACCCTACACTCTCCTCACAGTAGTTAGGCTTCATATCGTCGTTGCAGCCTCTGTAAAATTCTCTCTTTTTCTCGACCAAGGACCGGTCCTTCCTGATATGTCCAAGGAACCACCTTCCTTTCACCACACTCACTTCTAAGCATTCTGGCTGCACTTCTTCCAAAACAGATTTTTATTTGTTGTTCTAGCAGTCCATAATATATCTGATATTCTTCACCAATACTAATAATTCAAATTCTTCCCCAGTATTCCTTATTCATCCAGCTTTCACATTCATATGATGTAATTGGAAACACTGTGGCTTGAGTTAGCTGTCCTCAGAGTGACCTTTAGAGAGGTCTTTTCTAAATTTGTCCAATGAAGTAACGTTTGATTTCTTGAATACTACTACCATGAGTATTGATTATGTATCCAAGTAAAGCGAAATCTGTGACACCTTTAATATTTACTTCATTTATCATGACGTTTGTTTAAATTGAGTTGTAATTCTTACTGAAGGCTGTATTTTCATCTTCATCAGCAAATATTTCATGTTCTCTTTGCTTTTAGCAAGCAAGGTTGTGTCATCTGCATGTTGCAGGTTGTTAATGAGCCTTACCCTCCATTCCTGATGTCATGCTATTCATTATAGCCCCGCTTCTTGAATTATTTGCTCAGCATAACACATTGAATAACTATGGCGAGAGGCTACAACCCTGACAACACCTTTTCCTGATTTTAAACCACATAGTATCCCTTTGTTCTGTTAAAATGAATGCCTCTTTTTCTATATCTGTTAAGTGCCTTCGAGTTGGTTCTGACTCAGAGCAACCCTGCAGAATGTTTCTGAGGAGTGGCTGGTGGGCTTCAACTGTTGACCTTGTAGTCCAGCACAGTATGCTGCAGTACCACACCAGGAGTCAGCACTACACTGAATTTCCTATTTTTTGCTGTTATCTATAACTTAAGAGCCACGCAAGTAAATGAGTTTGCATAGTCAAAACACAAGTAAACATCTTTAAGGTCGTCTCTGCTTTCAGCCAAGATCCACCTGATGTCCTTTTCTGAATCTAGCTTGGAATTTCTGGCAGCTTTCTGTCAATGTGCTGCAACAATTTTGTAATTATTTCCAGCAAAATTTTACTTTCATGTGATATTACTGCTGTTATTTGGTGCACATTCAGTTGCACCACCTTTCTCTGGAATAGGCACAAATAAAGGGTTTTTTCCAGTTGGTTGACCAAGTAGCTAGCTGTCTTCCAAACATACTGGCACAGACTAGTGAGTTCTTCAGTGCTGCATCAGTTTGTTGAAACATTTCAATTTGTATTCCATCAATTCCTGAAGCCGCCTTTTTCGCCAATGCCGTGAGTGCTGCTTGAACTTCTTCCTTTGGTACCATCGGTTCTTGAGCATATGCTAACTCTTGAAGTGGTTGAGCACCAACTAACTCTTTTTGGTACAATGAGTCTATTTATTCCATCATGTTTTGATACTTCCTGCATCATTTTAATGTTTTGTCCATATAGTCCTTCAATATGGGAAGTTGTGGCTTGAATTTTTTTTTTTTTTTCCTGTCATTTTTTTCAGCTTGAGAAATGCTGAGCATGTTAATTGCCTTTTGGTTGTCTTACTTCAGGTCTTGGTACATACATTTCATTATACTTTACTTTTTCTTGTAGGAGCTGCTCTTTGAAAATTTCTGTTCAGCTCCTTTACTTTCTCATTTCTGTTTGTTCAAGAGCAAGTTCCAGAGCCTCTTCTAGCATCCATTTAGATTTTGATTTCCTGTGTTTTTATGACCTTTTGCGTCTTCCTGTCTTAGGGTTATTGATGCTGTCCCACAGTTTTTCTGGTCTTTGGAGATTAGTGTCTAATGTTTCACATCTGTTCTTGAGATGGTCTCAAAATTCAGGTGGGATGTGTTATACGGCTGGCGTCCTGGTGCTGAGGGTTCATGTGCTTGATTGCAAAGTCAGTTTCAGCTGCAAGGTCAGCGTTTCAAGCTTACCAACCACGCCTCAAAAACCCTGACAAGGGTCTCTATGGGTAAGAACCAACTCAGTAGTACTTACCAACACACTTAAGGTCATATCTTGGCTCTCATGTACACGTTTTAATTTACTTCGGTCTCAGCCTGAACTTCTAATGGTCTGGTCTGTTCCATCTAGTCCCTAGCAGTGTTTCAGCTGATGATAATGAGATTCTACCTTGTTTCTTCCCACAAATCATTTCTCTGAATTCCTTCTCCGGCATTTCCAAAGCCTGAGACTGTGGGTCTCTTTCCAGCTCATTTGCCTCAGTCACTTTATCTCGTTTCAGGACATGTACAGATAAGTTCATCTGCTTCTGTTTTGGGGGCATATTCAGGGGTTATTTGTGGCCTTAATACGTAGATGGATGTGATTTTGGTATTTTTCATGCTTTCTGATTGCCTCCAGGTAGATGTGATCATGAAATGGGCTTCCCTTTTCACTCTTCTTGAGAAATTTCAAGATGCCACTGTTGGTCGTTTTGACGTAATTTAGGATTTAATTTTTGGCCTGTTTCCTTTTTAGTCTGCCACAATCCCCATTCAGGCCTTGTTTCTAGTTATAAACAGTTCAGGGCTGGCTGTGCCAGTTGGTTTTAAATGGAAACTGTCTCTTTAAATTTGGAGATCTGTGCGCATGCTTTGTATAACCCTCACCAGAATGGAGGTGTGCACACAGCAAGGGACCAATGAACAGATACCGAAAGAAAAGACTGTCCACACCTGTATCTCCTTGGTTCTGTCAGGAGTCCGTGGCTCCTCTGATCATTTCCCGGCTTGCTCTCACCCAAGATGGCCGCTCCTGGAGCAGCTGAGCGTCTTGAATTAGAAAGCAATGGATTTCTTCTGCTACAAATTCCCCTAACTGTAAGTCTTCCAACCTTCTAAATATTCATTATGTGGTTAAGAGTTCTGGGACCATCCCCTGAGCCTACATGGTCCTGTATTCTGTGTTGTTGCTGACGAAGCTCTTCATTGCCCGTCCACCCGATCCGCCATCTTGTTTGTTCCTCTCCCAGAGCTCTCTTGTTCCAAGGTTGTGCATACTTCATTCTTTACCTCTGTCCCACTTACCCATGCAAACCTGCCTTTGTTTTCCCATCTGTATGTTCTTCCAATTCCCTCCCCCTTATTGTGTATTGCCCTCCTCCCTAGCACCCAAACTATCCTGTGTCTTCCCTGCCCTGTGCTCACCTTCCCCTCCCCTCCCCTCATCCTACCTCACACACACTGGTAACCAGCAAAGAATCCCCTTTAGTATGGGTTCTTGGGTCTTTTACAGTAGTGTTCCTACACAGTATTTCTCCTTTTGTGACTAATTTCACTGAACATAATGTCCTCAAGGTTCATCAATATTATGTGATGGCTTACAGCTTCCTTGTTGTTCTTCAACGTAGCATAATATTACATTGTATGTACTACAGTTTGTTTATCCATTCTTCCGTTGATGGGCTCTTAGGCTGTCTCCATCTTTTTGCTATTGTAAATTTTGCTGCTATGAACATTGGTGTGCATGTATCTACTCGTGTTATGGTTCGTATTTTTTGTGGGTAAATGCCAAGTAGAGGAATTGCTGGATCATAAGGTATTTCTATTTTCAACCTACTGAGGAAGCTCCATATTGCTTTCCAAACCATTTTGCCATCCCACCAGCAATGCAGGAACGCCCCAGTCTGGCCACATCCTTGCTAGCATTTATTGTCCTCTGCTTTTTTGATCTTTGCTGTTATTGCTGGTGTGAGATGATATCTCATT